GAATAAGAGTTCCAGCTTCTCCACAACCTCACCAGCATTTTTGATGATCCCTCTGTGGTATATCAAAAGATTCTGTACTGGGATCTTGTGCAAATATGCTTTGTTTCAAGGGTTCTTATGATGGTGGTGGTAGTGGTGCTTATATGAGTCGGAATCAACTCATAGCTGACCCTCCAGTGGTTTTTCAGAGATTTTATGTATTCATCCAAAATAAAATTTTTATTTTATAGTGGTCTACTTAGAACGTGTGTGTGTATGTGTGTGTATATATATATGTTGTTTTTCACACTGGATCTTTCCCATTTCCTTTACCCACCCCTCCCTCCACCCATCAAATTGTGTGACCCTGTGATTAACCCCCCTCACCCCTCACACTTCTCACTGGTCACCCCCACCCATCTTCCCCCTTCTCCCTCCCTCCCTTGGATCCTCATGCACATTCCACAATAATGGTCAGAGGAATTTTAAATGCAGGGAAGATTGCCCACCCATCTCCTACAGAGCAACTGGTGAGTTTAAACTGTTTGCCTTTGAGATTGCAGTACAGCTTTTTAACCACTAGGCCATCAAAGAGAATGATAAAATAAGGCAGGAAAAATCTCACAAGGCCTTCAGTAAACTTGAATTCTCTGTGAGGGTTGTATTCTTTAAATAGTCTCAGGCGGCCAGTTGCCGCTCTCTAATTTTTTACTTCTGACTGGCTCAGGACAGGGGAGGGTTCAGAGCTGCTGTAGGTAGGGTCGCTATAATCGCAGGTACTAATGGCACATAACAACAATAACATACTATGACAGGCTTGGAAGCAGGAGTCGCATCCACTTCCTAAACAACATGCCTCTGGAAACTCGATGAACTTTGATAAATGTCTATAGTTGTAGAGGGGCTTCAGGCCTTTTGTTCATAGGGTCGCTATGAGTTGTGCTCTACTCAAAGGTAATCAACAACAACTATTATTATTTATTTTTTTCTTTTAAAAAAGCAATGTAAAGCTTTCTACTGTAGGAGTTAGCAGTAACAGTTGTCAAGGAGATGATTTCCAAAAGAGATTCAGGGCCCTCTTTGAGTAAGAACTAGAAAGTTCTGACTTGGATGTATAAGAAAGACACCAGTAATAGACATTGAATGGGTCAGGACAAACTGACACCCTTCTTTATCTTACAGAAGAATTTATATCTCCTTTGCCATCAAAGAGAGTGGCGTTTACACAGCTGATGGTGCATTCCTGCTAATGGATGTATGGTGATCTTTGGCCATCTTGTTTGTCTTTTCCTTGAGTCTGTTGTTTAGCCCCATTCCTTGAGAGTCTGTTTTTATTGTCATATAGCTGCATTCCTTGAGGTTCGATATCTATTATTATATTGCCACAGTCTTTGTCAAAACCAGTTCTGTTTAATCTCCTTCATCAGCATCAGCATTTCCTTTGCCATTCCTTTCAGCAGTCACAGATTACTTCCTCTTTACTCATCGCTACCCTGAAGTGAGAACAGAACAGCATTTCAGTATTGCTAGTTTAATATTTCTTAATGTTTGAAATGTTACACATAGATTCACCAGTTTATTCATATACTTCTCTAGGGCCTGGTTCCCCTCTTGCATTATAGAAACAAAGCTGAACTAAGCCACTCATGGTTGATTACACTTAAAAACTTTCATATTAATCACATGCAACTAATTCAATATGGGAGAATTTATATTTGTTTCAAGGACTGATGTCTGTTTTCCTCTTAGTTTGTTTCTTTCGTGTATCTATATAACTGGGCCAGATATTGTTGGAAAATTGTTTTTGTAAGCTTGGAATCAGGGAGAGAGAAAAGAAATTTTTGGTTTAAAAGCCAATTTGGTTCAGAGACTATTTGAACATATACATCCTTTCTGAAAGGATGTATTTCCTCAGTAACTGAAATGTTTACTTAAAATTCACTAACTTCACTGGGGTTGAGGAAAGACAGAAGGAGGGGAGAATGATATATACTGCATTGAAACAGATGAGGGAGAGAACTGTTTAAAAGGGATATATGATTGGGTATTATTGTCATTACAGAAGTCCAGAATGAAGGCTGCACAGAGGAGTGGATTTGGGGGGAGGGATTGTATAACAATGAGAGTTTTTCTTTTCAAGGAAAGGAGTGAATTGGGGGGAATGGAGTGGGTGGGAGAAATGTGCAACAATGAATGACTAGATACCCTAAGTCTCTGTAAACTTTCATTAAAATTAATTAAAAAAAATCACTAAGTTCCCCCCTTAAAAGTAAGTGCCATAAAGTTGGAGAATGGGTAATATACTGTTGTTCTTGGTAATGTGTATATAATCAGTGATTCAAAGTGCTTTTCTACTCCTGAATTGTGTAAATATACAGAGAAGTACAGGCAACACTATCAAACTATTCTTTCTTACATTTCACATGGAGTTCATATATCTACTTCTATCTCTTCTTGAGGTTAATACTTGTGTTAATCTCTTTTGCCCTTTCATTTTGCTTCTGGTCAGCCTTACTGATTGTCCCTTTTATTAAGAGAGTGTTGTTTTCTATGGTTATGTTGAGCTGTAATCATTACTGAATGCTTTGAACTTCAGTAAGTGCTTCAAGATCTGTTCACTTTCAAACATCAAGGTTGTGTCATCCACTTGTTGTTGTTATTGTTTTGTGCCGTTGAGTTGTTTGCGACTCATAGCAACCCTATGTACAACAGCCCTAAACCGTGCTCTATCCTGTGCCAATCTCATTGCCTCTGACACACCCATCCTGATTACCCCAGTCACTGAATCAGTCCACCTCATAGAGGGTCTTCCCCTCCTGCGCTGTCCCTCTACTCTACCCAGCATGATGTCCCTCTCTAAAGACCTGTCTCTCCTTACAACATGTCCAAAGTATGTCAGACGAAGCCCTAGAATCCTTGCCTCCAAGGAGCAGCCTGGTTTAACCCTCTCTAGGATGAATCTGTTTGTTTTCTTGGCAGTCCATGGTACATTCAATACTCTTCTCCAGCACCACAGCTCAAAGGCATCAATTCTCCTTCTATCCTCCTTAGTCATTGTACAACTCTCTGACGCATAACAAGTGATTGCAAAGACCATGGCCTGTATCAGGCGCACCTTAGTCTCCAGAGGGACACCGTTGCTCTTGAGTACTTTAGAGAGGTCCCTAACTGCAGACTTTGCCATCGCAATGCGTTTTTTTTTTTTTTATTTCCTGGCTACTGTGAAAATTGTTAATGAATCTTCCTCCAATACCATTCCCAGAGTGTCTTTATCCTTAATAAGTTGTAGAGGCCAAACCTGGAAATGGTATTTGAAAAGATAATTGATTGATGAATGATGAGCTAGAAAATCGTTGTCCCTGGTTTTAACATACTACTTTTCTGTGGTGAATTAAAATAATTTATAGATGCATTTGAGTGTTGATGAAGAATATTGGAAGTGCCATGAATTGCCAAAAGAACAAACAAATCTGTTTTAGAAAACGTGCAGCCTGAGTGCTCCTTAGAAGCAAAGACAGAGTTAGTCTCACATAATTTGGTCATATTATCTGGAGGGACCAGTCCTAAGAGAAGGATATCATGCTCGGAGAAGTAGAGTGTCAATGAGAGCATGGAAAACCATCAGTGAGGCGAATTGATGCAATGACTGCAACAGTGGACGCAGCATAGCAGAGATTGTTATAGAGAATGGTGTAGGATTGGACTGGTTTTTATCCTGTTGTACATATGGTCACTATGAGTTGGAATTGATTTTAAGGCATCTAACAATAACAACAACAACAACAACAACAACAACAAATGGCCAACAGGCACATGAAGAAATGTTCAAAATCCCTAGCTCTGAGAGAGATGGAAATCAAAACAACTATGAGATATCTCACCCTAGTCAGAATAACAAAATTTTATAGAATAGCAAAGAACAAATGCAGGCGAGGTTGTGGAGAAACTGGAACCCTTATTCTCTGTTAGTGGGAGTGTAAAATGGTGCAACCACCATAGAAGGTGGTATGGCATAGAGATACAATTTGACTCAGCAATTCCACTACTGGGACTTTACCCCAAAGAGACCATAACTGACATCCAAGTAGATATATGCACACCCATGTTTATCGCAGCTTTGTTCACAATAGTAAGGAGTTGGAAACAACCTAAGTGCCTATCAACAAACGAATGGATAGAGCAGCTGTGGTATATTCACACAATGGAATACTATGCTGCATTGAAAAACAAGGAACTCGTGTAATATTATTCAAAATGGGTGACTCTGGAGGACGACATTATGCTGAGTGAAGTATCTTAGTCACAAAAGGACAAATACTGCATGGTGCCACTGTTGTAAAGCAGGACTGACCTCGGGGTTGGGAGGAGACTGAGAAGGATGGGTTGAATAATGTATACTGCATTGAAACAGGTGAGGGAGAAAACTTTTTAAGAGGAAAATTATTAGGTATTTTTGTCATCACTTGAGTCCAGAGCGAAGGCTGTATAGTGGAGTGGACCTGGGGGGAGGGATTGTAAAACAATGAAAGAATTTTACTTTTCAAAGAGAGGAGCAAACTGGGGGGGAGGGGTGGGCAGGGAGAAAAGTGCAACAATTAATGAATGGAAATCCAAAATGTCTGTAAATGTTCATTAAAATAAATAAAAAATCCCTTAATGACAAACTGTGTTAGGCTAGTTGTATAACTCCTTTCGAGATTGTTTCTGTCATTGTATATATACAAGCATATGAACACATGATACATATTTTCTACATATAGTGCTCATTTGTTAAAGCTTTATAATTTATTTTGAAGTTTAATCAAGTCTTTGTTCATTAATTTGCGTGGGAAAGCAAGACTGCTATTAGACGTAATAAGCTTTTCCCTTTTCTAGATATAATACTGCTGTTTATTTTATTTTCATTTAATGTGCCAATTGTTTTTATTTTTAGAAGCTAGACAGTATATTCTAGTTATAGATTGAATGTGTTCAAGTGTATGGCAGTTAGGTTTATGTGTAATTTTCCATTTTACCTAAAGGAACGGAAGGAGGAAATTGCTACTATGGAGAGCATCAACAATGGCAAGTCCATCTTTGAGGCCAGGTGGGATGTCGATACTTCGTGGCAGTGCCTGGAGTACTTTGCAGGCTTGGCTGCTTCATTGGCTGGTAAGAGTTTGCCTAGCACTCAGTGAGCAGCTGACAAGGAAGCAGAAGAGCAGAGCCTAGGGGGAAAGGACACAGATTTGGGAATTAAGGCTGTTTTCATTTGGGGTCATCACTTTCTGCATGGTTGGATCTGGCACTTACTGTGTGTTTCATTATCTTAGGAGGTAGTAATCCCTAGGTTTTTGGATTGCTATAGGATTACATGACATTGTAAAGTACTTACATGGTACTTGAGCTCTAAGCCAAGCTATTGAAAAGCCAGTTCTTAAGAATCAGTAGGCCATATTTATCAGTTTTACCTGTTCAGCCAAAAATTCTCTGTAACTACTTACAAAGTTTGAGCTCTGGTGGCTTAGTCTGTAGGGAGATGCGCTGCTATCCACCAGCTGCTTTGTAGGATAAAGATTGGCAGTCTCCTTCCATGTGACTTGCTAGCCTCAGAAAATCCTATGGAGCTCAGCTATGAGTCTGTTTTAACTTGATGGCAGTAGAGAGAGTGAGATTTGCAACATTTATAACAATTTTTTTATTGACTGCTTGGTAAGATCCATATGGGAAGCCAGGATTCTGAGATTTTTGGGGCCCTCAATTCCTTGTGTCTGCCCCTCTCTCTTCTCCTCACTTCCTCCCACTCCTTAGTCTCCACATCTCATTTCCCTATTTGCCACTTCTTCTCCCCCTTCCCTCCGACCTTTTGCCTTTCAAGATTTCTTTGTTTTTGCTCCATAGGTTTTATGTCAGTTATTTCAAAGAGCTTTTAAATGAGAACCTATGTCAGTTTGATCAGAATATTATCTTCTGTTTAGTATAATATTCCATAAAAAGCCCTGGTGACATAGTAGTTAAAAGTACTTGACTGCTATTTGAAAAGACAGCAGAACCTGCAGCAACTCTGAGGGAAAATAACCAGAGTATGTTCCTTTTAAAGATTTGCAGCAGCCTGGAGAATACTGTGAAGCATTTCTCCTCCGTCCTGTGGGGTTCACTGATTAAGGCTCAACTAGACAGCAGTGGGTTTGGTTTTATGTCTAGCATGACTGGAGCAGCATGTCAACAAAGAACTGCCAGATGTGCAGGCTGGGTTTAGAAGAGGCTGTGGTATATTATATTATAGCTAGTATTATATATAGCTAATGTTAGATGAGGGGGACCTGAAGTGCTTGCTGCAGAGGGTCAGGGACTGCAGCCTTCAGTATGGATGGAAGCTCAATGTCAAGAAGACAAAGATTCTCACCACTGGACCAGTTGGCAGCATCAGGATAGATGGTGAAGAGATTGAGATTGTGCACAGCTTTAGTTTGCTTGGCTACACAGTCAACACTCTTGGCACCAGCAGGCAGGAAATTAAAAGACGTATTGTGATGGGAAAGTCTGCTGTTAGGGACCTCTCCAGGGTACTGAAGAGCAGTGGTGTCTCTCTGGAGACTAAGGTGCGCCTGATACAGGCCATGGTCTTTGCAATCACTTCTTATACATCAGAGAGTTGGACAATGACTAGGGAGGATAGAAGGAGAATTGATGCCTTTGAGCTGTGGTGCTGGAGAAGATTATTAAATGTACCATGAACTGCCAGTAAAACAAACAGATTCATCCTAGAGAGGGTTAAACCAGGGTGCTCCTTGGAGGCAAGGATTCTGGGGCTTTGTCTGACATACTTTGGACATGTTGTAAGGAGGGACAGGTCCTTGGAGAAGACATCATGCTTGGGAGGGTGGAGGGCAGGCGCAGGAGGGGAAGACCCTCTGTGAGGTGGATTGATTCAGTGACTGGGGTAATCGGGATGGGTGTGTCACAGGCAGTGTGATTGGCACAGGATGGAGCAGGGTTTAGGGCTGTTGTACATAGGGTCACTATGAGTCACAAGTGACTCCACGGCACATAACAACAACAACAATGTTAGATGGAGCTTGGCTGAAAATAGTAGCAGAAGAATGTTTGTATTTCATTGACTATGCAGAGGTGTTTTACTGTGTGGATCACAACAAACTGTGGCTGACTTTAGTGTTTTAAAAATTAGTTTTGAAAAAAAATGTTGGTTTTGGTAGTTTGCCTTCCATTTGTCCATTTTATTTAAGTTATGTAATCTCTGTAAATTTTCAGAGAATCAAATTATGTTGGATGACCATAGGTTTGAATGGTATACTTCTGTTTGTGAGAGGTAATGGTTGGCTAATGGAAGAATGACAAATGAATAAGAGAGTGGAAATAGAGGTGAGCCTAGTATATTGGAAATAGGATGCTGGTATAACAGGAATGTAACATAAGTACAAATGTTGGAGAATTTGGAGAAAACCAAACTGTGACTACTTTCCTGTTTTCCTTAGGTGAATATGTTGCGCTCTCCAATGGATCCTTTGGTTATACCAGAAGAGAACCACTTGGAGTATGTGTGGGAATAGGAGCGTGGAACTACCCTTTTCAGATTGCCTGTTGGAAGTCTGCTCCAGCTCTAGCTTGTGGTAAGAATAAATTATTCCTTCCCTTATAAGTCAGCTGCTTCATCCCCTTTACATGTACACGTACACCCCACTGCAAATCAGAAAGGACGAAAGGCTGTGCACTGGAACCTGCAAAGCTTCAGAGGGCATGGTTTTTTCTTGCCCTAGCCCTTGAGGGCTGAGTCTAGGTGGCATACACAGATCATATTTATACAATTCCTATTCTTAGATATATATTCTTGGAAAATAAGGTTTCTTTTAGAACTGGACACCTTATTTTTATTGTCAAATGATTTTGATTTCTGCTACTTCTAAGTTTTGTTTTCTTCTTGGGCTAAGAGTTTCTATATACTAAGTAGCATTTAAGTGTTAGACTGAATTTAAGAAACAGAAGAGAAGATCAGTTTCCTCTCTTTGTGTCATCAAGAGAAATCTTAAGAAAGGTATTTGTTAGAGCTGCTCTAGCTTGAGTGACTTAATTGTTTTCTCTTAACTATGTAAAAAGAAGAATCTGGGAAGAGATGATGTGACTCAGAGAAAACAGTAATGTTAAAGCATTTCTGTTAGGATACTGTGTTAAAAGAAAGCGGTTTTGTTATTACTACTTTGTGTTCTTGCTTTATCATTTTCTTTGTTAGAGGCAGCTCTGATAGAATAGAACTGATGTCAGAATTAAGTCGACTCCTCAATTCACCTTTCTGGTCATTTTCAACTTCTAGAAAAATAAAACTAATCATACCTACTTCATATTACTGGTATTAGTATAAAATGGGATAATGTATGTGAAAAGGCCTAGATATGCAAGTGTAAGGTGTTACGGTTGAGATTGGACAAGTGTGTTTGGGATCTATGTAATAAGAGACATCAAGAGGTGGAGAATGAGATGTATTTACTTACTTATAGCACTCTTGAAGATTTGATGAGAGAGCAGGAAGCAAATGAAATTCTTCTTGAGCACCTTATAATCCTGCCCCCAAAGGATCACTATATTAAGAAGTCTTATGATGTTTATGTCTTGCCTTTATGCAGGTAACGCCATGATCTTTAAACCATCTCCCTTCACTCCTGTTTCTGCATTACTGTTGGCTGAAATCTATACTGAGGCTGGTGTCCCTCCAGGGCTCTTCAATGTGGTGCAAGGAGGGTCTGTCACAGGCCAGCTTCTGTGCCAGCATCGTGATGTGGCCAAAGTCTCCTTCACGGGAAGTGTGCCTACCGGCTCAAAGGTGAAGATGTTGGCAATATTGGTTCACATGAATGGCTATCTGGAGTGGGCAATGCCAATACTACCGAGAGCATATGTTGGAGGCTTAACTTTTGATTAGTTAGCTTGCATTGGGAAGGAGGCAGTGAATATTATTGGATAAAGATGTGAGATTTTAAAAGGGTGAAGTGAGCATAATTGGTGCGTTTGGAACAGTAGATTTGTGTTAGGTCAATCTGGGATAGAAATCATCTGTTCTTGCCTATGTATATTAGAGGGCAAGCAGCCTCTTTTGTTTGGGGACCTAAATCAGGGTTAGCAACCCTCTCAAAAGAGCATTTTCGTAATTGAGAGAGCAAGGAATTTATATTGCTTAAAATTACTTGTTGTTGTTGTTGTTATGTGCCGTCGAGTCGCTTGCGACTCATAGCGACCCTATGTACAACAGCCCTAAACCCTACTCTATGCTGTGCCAATCGCACTATCTCTGACACTCCCATCTCGATTATCCCAGTCACTGAATCA